ACTGTGTGTATTACTACAAAATAAATGTAAGTACAGTGCTGTCGGCCTCTTCTCTGATAAGGATAGACAGTAGCCATGGAAAGCCGTCGGTAAGTTTAGCAAGAACTTAGAAATATCTTTAAGTATCATTTAGACTGTAACCTTTCTTTTTAGTAGACTCAACTTCAACAAAAGAAATGTTTATCTATGCATTTAGCACTGATAAGAATTAGCTACAAGCATCATCTACATTCTTGAAGATTTCAAGAAGAGGCAGGTTCAAATTATCCCAACATAAGAACTCACGCTTTCAGATACAGCCTTCAGGTAGGGATCAAAGCCTTCCTTTGTGTCATCCATCATGCGAAGGGCTTTCTGTATGGCCTCCTCAAATTTGCGTCCGACAGCCATTACCTCCCCAACACTCTTCATAGAGCTTCCGATCTACCAAATAGAATGGAGATGAGACACAACACATTAAAAATACTGTATCAGAGTTTGGTATTCAATTGTCAAGATGTTGTCCTGTTGAAAAGTGAATTTGAAATTTGTTGATGTTTCCAGTCAGAAACCACACTATTAATTGCGAACATAATTACTAGTACAAATCTGCATAGGCAAACAACCAAAATTCCAGTTACGATGTTCCATGACCTTGGAGATATGACTTTAGTTGAGTGTTATAACATTATCAATTGATATGAAAAACAATACTATAATGTATGTTAAAAATGAAATAGGAATCGTGTCAAATTGGAGACAATCTAATCCGATATTGGCAACAATAATTTTCTTTCTAACAAAACTAATATGGTGGAATACTTTCCGGTCAAACACAGAAGGAAAGACAAATGTTTAAATTATCAATATTTTCTAATATTAAAAACTTTATACTATTATTGTTTCCATAACAAATTTCAGACATTATCTTCAAGAAAGATGTTTTAACTTCAAAATGAAAACTCTTTACCTTTGTTGACACACGTGAGAACTTCTTGAGATCCCAGCGAGGAATTTTCACCACACAATAATCGAGACTGGGTTCAAAGCAGGCTGTTGTGGTATAGTCCTTTGAACTTGTCACTGAGTTTGGTTGATCAGGGAGGGACATACCCAAGGCTAGCTTTGCTGCTATGTAGGCTAAAGGATAGCCAGTGGCTTTACTGGCCAGGGCAGAGCTCCTAGACAGACGGGCATTTACCTCAATAATGTAATACTGTGTGAATAAAAAGATAAGCATTCTATGAAGTAATTATTAAACATGTTTTTAACCAAAATTTCTATTTCAACTTGGGTAAATATTTAGTTTATAAGAATCTAGAAGCATCAGCATTTCAGAAAGTCAGACATGTCCCATGTTCAAGCTCCATGGGCAGATGTACTGCAATCCATACAAGACAAAACAAAATGAAAGTGAAAATTATTTCACAAGATTCGTGTCCACTAAGACATCTGACCAACATACTGGGCAATTATTGCTCTACATGTAAAGCAAGACACATAATATGTAGATATTTCCTTTAATCAACTTTACAAACTATTTCCATGTGTCTCAGGTTGAGTAATGCAGATACTTATGGTCTATCAACCCTTTCTTAACCCTACCTACTGTTTATATCTTTTAATATCTCTTTTAAAACCCTCACACTATAACCCTGAGTACAGCCTTGGGCTGTAGCTCAAAGTGCAAGAACATAAACCCCTAAATCTAATGTCATTGAAGGTCACTTGACAATTTAAATTTCACATATGATCAATTACACTGCAGGTATATTTTATATGGTCATCAAATGTTCCATGTCAAATTGGTTATAAATCTTATCAATGTAAAAACCAGTCTTTCTATTGCTTTATATCTAATATCAAAGTTATACAACAAGTTATGATAATCAGGAAAGGTATGTCTGAAGGAGTTGATTTGATATAACTGAGTGTTGGGTAAAAGTATATGAGGATGGGGAGGGACAGGGTTATGATAAAGAATATAATAAGGATATAAATAAAAATTATAAGATAACATAAACAGCGGAGATAGCCTATGATACAAGTACAATGAAGAGAAAAAATCCAAGTATATGAAAAAAATTGTTCTGGTAGCCATATTGTGCTTCTGATGAACATCAAATCAAAATCGTTTCTTCAAAGTTTTATCAACTTCATTCTAAAGGTATTTGAGTTATTAGTTCAAAATAGTGTAAAAGTTAAGTATAAAAGAATTCGGAAGGCTTCTTTGTGAACAAATTTTAGTTGCTGACTCTATAAGAATTAAGAAGGGGGTTTATTGGTGAGGAGAGGCTCATTTACAGATAATTACAGTAGATTCTAAAGACAGCGGTAAAGGCAGTCATCTTGAATTTCATTTACAATATAAAAATGATAGAAGTTGATCAATCCCATAAATTTTCAAAAAATCTGAAAATCTACCCAGGAAAGTTTACTGACGAAGGACAGCGTACGATTGATGGAGCCCTATAGGAATATCTAACTTGAGCCCTCGGCTCAGATGAACTAAAAAAATATTTGCTGCAAATTTAAAGAAATTGAAGCATTCTTTCAAGAGTTATCCCACAGAAATCTAGATGTCTCTAGGATATCAAATTCCAAGAAAGATCATCGCTATGTTGAATTTCAAATCCAGGTCAAATAAATTTTTGTTAGGGAAGATGATTGGTGTTTGTAGAAGAAGCTTTAGTGTGAGTAACACATCAATGAACATTTCATGTCTATGATGGCAACATTGAGCTGGGACAGAACAGGTGCCTTCTACAAAAATCACTTTACAATAAAATATGTTCTTGAGATTGTAACTAATGATGTACCTGATGAGATTCTGGGTTTAGGGCATACTGAATGTTGCATTCTCCTACAACCTGCAGGTGACGGATAACCTTGATTGCAGTAGACCGAAGCATGTTGTAATCAGTATTGGTGAGTGTCTGACTTGGTGCTACCACTATTGATTCACCAGTATGGATTCCAAGTGGATCTACGTTCTCCATATTGCACACCTATACAACAAAAACAAAGGAAGAGGTAGCAAATAATTAGCTGAAGAATATTGTAGTAAAAGAAACCTAACTAATTGACCTTCTGTTTGCTTTTCAATATATCATAGTATGATACATCCTAGAAATATTAATAACTTTATTGATTTAAACTTTCAGATCATTTCTTATTTGAATTTTATTGTTGTAATCTTAATTCAATTAGTCAAAATAGATACATCAGCTTGTTAAAACACAAACGACAAACAGATAAATAAATTGGCTGGTCAAGATATATTAAGTTGAGCTTGCTGATAATTTTTTGTGTACTTTACCGTGATACAGTTGTCGTAAGCATCCCGAACCACCTCATATTCAACTTCCTTCCAGCCTTTCAGTGATTTATCAATCAGAACTTGACTCGTGTGAGCAAATGCAGAGTTAGCGAGTGTTAGAAGTTCATCCCTGTTTTCAGCAAATCCTGAACCAAGACCACCCAATGCAAATGCTGCTCGAATTAGCACTGGATATCCAAGGCGCTCAGCTGCTTGTACCACCTACAAATCATATTAGAATTTCAAAAAAGTGATTAGTATTCATTTGTTTACAACTGCAAATATTTCATTAAATCTCAGCTAAGGAAGAAAAATATTCACTTGGCAAACACAAGGCATGCAGAGCGTTTGCAACTCAATCATCTTTGGCCAAAGGTTGATACCTTATTTCACCTGTGATATGGTGAATGATTATTTTTCTATCAACCTTTGGAACTTCTATATATGTAATATTGCTTTCTAAATGCTCATTAGTGTTGACCTAACATTATGAAATTCTTTATTTAAAATCAGATTATTGTTGCAACACACTATCCGTTGATGGGAATTCCTCATCTTAACCCTTATCCAGGAAACCTTGTACATGTAAAAAAACATGGATATCACACATCTGTTCTGAATGGAGGAAGTTAAAACAGGAACATGAAACTTCAAATGTTTTTGAGTCACTAACCTGTTCTGTGTTGTAAGCTGCCTCACTAGGAGCTACATATTCATCAATCTCTGCCATCTTGTCAGCAAAAACTTTACGATCTTCAGTCCACAAGATTGACTCAACTTGGGTGCCAAGAACTTTGACCCCAAATTTTTCCAGTGTGCCCAGTTTGGTTAGCTGAACACCACAATTTAGTCCTGTTTGACCTCCAAACGTCAGCAGAATGCCATCTGGTCGCTCGTTTCTAATTACCTGATAAGTGTACAGCATTGCAAGTTAATTACAAGACACCTAACAAGGATGTATGGCTCACCTAAATTTAATTCCAGACAACTCTCAAGATAAACTCATTAAACAAATATTAGAACTAGCATGTTGACACAACCAGATTTAATAGCTGTCTACAGCTAATGGAATATGTTGTAAAACCTTCATTTGATACAATTCATGGGCAGATAAACCAACTGGGTGTTTTCATGAATTGACCACCATGCCGTAGGAACCTATATATAACATATCATCGTTCTAGGTCTTATGGTTAATCAGATGAAATTCTTCAAACATTTAAACAAATATTTGATCCCTATTTTCTTGGGTCATGGTCAATTTTTGCAACAAACTATGCCTGGCTTAACACCTAGAATCCATCAGACATATATCATGATTCTAGGTCTTTCCATCAATCAGAAGAAGTCATTTGAGTGCTGCGGTCTTAAATATGGTATAGGTCATTTCTTTTAACAAACTATGTGTGGCTTCATCTCAGGAAATCACAAACTAAATATTATGATTCTACATGTTTCAATCAATCAGAATATCACAATCAGGCCTGATGCACTAACAAGAGGTCTAATAGGCCTGCATCACCCACCTGGTATTCAATGCTTTTCACAAATATATCATCATTTCAAAACATTCCATGAACCAACCAGCCAAATGTAGATTCCAGGCCTTTTGGTTATATAATCAGAGGTTTTTTGCAGGTTTTCACAAAGCTTACCCCTGTGACCTTAAATACAGGTTCAGGTAATTTCTTTTTCTTAAATTTGCTAGGCTTCATCCCAGAAACCTACTGACAAATATTAAATTCTAGGCACTTTTATTTGAGAAATCATCTGAAAAATTTTACAAATTTGATCCCCCCCACCCCCAACCCCCCCAAAAAAAGGGAGCTTGAAAGTTGGTTAATATAAGTTTTTTTTAACGTAAATATATCCATTTCAGAAAGCTACCAGCCAAATTTTATGACTATATGCCTTTCATTTCTTCCAAAGATGCTATTTAAAAGAAAGTTGATGCTCTAACCATGCGACATAATGATGGATGAAGAAAAGGAAGCTTTATTATCCATTTCCTGTGTGACATAGTGATGCATGATGGGAAGGAAGTTTTGTTGGCAACTTCCTGTACCTGTGCAGAAGGTGTGAGTATAGGTTGCATTACTAGCTACAGCTTGGGGGTAATTCCTTTAAGTCGAATGGTAGAGTGTCAGGCTAGAAACCAATGGGTCGCTACTTCATCCCTATGACATCATGTATGACATAATGATGAATCATAGGAAGGGAGTTTTGCAAGTCATTTACTGTACCTGGGTAACATAGTGAGGTGTGATTGGCAGGAAATAAGTTTTGTCAGCCATTCCTTTAGATGTTTGCACTGTAGCAATGTTTGGGTTGATCAGTACAGTTTGGATTCTCTCCTCACGAAGTGCTTTTAATGCCTAGAAAATAAAAACATGTGATGTACATTTGTAGATTTACTGACTGATCAGACCAGGTAAACTATACACAGAACTCCTAAAAAATAACTACCTTTATAAGGTTTCCAACAGTCTTAAATTTCCTATACAAACTATAACGCTAGCTGTGATCCACAGTAGTCAAATTCTTCTAATTCTAAACAAAGTTCTTTTAATATCCAACCAACAGTTCTAAATTTCCTGTACAAACAGTAAGCTTATCCGTGATCCTTGGAATTCTAATTCCTCTAAATATCAGTTCTGAATTTCCTGTACAAACAGTAAGTTTATCCGTGATCCTTGGAATTCTAATTCCTCTAAATATCCAACCAACAGTTCTAAATTTCTTATAGAAATAGCGAACTTACCTGTGATCCCGAGTAGTCAAATTCTCCTGCCTGTCCAATAGACAGTCCTCCTGACCCCAGAATAAGAACCTTTTTTGGCCTCATGGTCAGTGGGGGAGGCACAGTGACTGGCGTCTGCAGAGTCATGTACAAGCGTTCAGACACTGAGGGACTACAATGGTAAAACAGTAAACATTTTAAAAATGTCAAGAAATAGTGACTCACTAATGATAAAGCAAGATTCAGGAAAAAAATGGACAGCACAATGATATATAATACAAATTTTTACACCTTCTTTTTCACTGTGACATCAACTTCCAATACTAGTATAATAACGTATTTTGTAACATTACTACCCTGACATCAGCATAAAGACCCTTAAATATTCAAACTGTTGTTATCCTAATGTAATATGACCTAGACAAGCTGTAATTGACTTTAAGTTCACATGATGTTGTTGCTTTATGACGTCATACTTTTTTACAGTGTCACTTAAGAAAGACATGTAATGTGGCAATAAAAATTTCAATCTTGGCTAACATCCTAACATACATCTCCCCAATTGGGCACTGCCACTCCTACCCCAGGGGGCCAAGATGTAAAAGTTTATACAACATTGATTTCCCTTCACCCAAGAATGCTTAAGATCAAAATTGGACAATATCCATTCATTTCACTGTAGGATTTCTAAGAATTTGTTCTAATTCCCTTTTCGGCCCTGTCCCTCAGGCTCTTAGCGGCTGAGAACCACAATTTATACAAACTTGGTACCCATGGATGCTTCTCACCAAATTTATGAAACATTTGTTCAGTAATTGATGATTTGTAGTGATTTCTAGTAAAAAGCTGAGAGACAACAAACAGACAGATGCCAGGCGCTGCACCATGGCATTAGATCACCAGTCTTTTGGACCAGATGAATTGAAAACTTGACACAAATTTTCCATTTTACATCACAACAGCAACAAGACATCTGAAAAAGACCTATGGGAACACCAGTATTTAGTCCTCATTTGTTCTTTAAAAATTGGATCCCTTCTTTTCTTACCTCCATTTTATTCTTGATTAAATGAAATTGAAAATTCCTCTTAAAAATAGCAATTATAATCTTTAATTGTCAAATCCAAGATAGTCGCCTGCCAGCCAATTTGCTCACCTGATCAGTTAAAAAATCAAAAGGGCAAAACTGTGAACCAAGGAGAAGCTACATATGAAATTTGAGAAAGATCCATCCACTACTTCTCAAGAAACATACATATAAAACTTTGATTGTCAAAATCCAAGATGACCATCTATCAGCCATCTGATAATGAAAAGAGTACAAAGAGAGAACAAGGGGAATCTGATATGAAATCTGAGAAAGATCCATCCAGTATTTCTTGAGTAACAGCAAAGACAAACTTTGATTGTCAAAATTAAGATGGCTGTTTGTTAGCCATTTTGTTTATCTGATCTGTTCACAAGTCGAAAGGGCACAACTACAGACAAAGGGGAACCTACATATGTACTGTAAGAAAGATCCATCTACCTCACAAAAAAGGGAGAATCAGTGAAAATGATAAATGCTCCCTGAAAACAACTTTATTGGACACAAAATGAAAAAAGGGCAAAAAATCTGTAATAAAAGAGGTTTAAGGCACTGAATCTGGTACTGACACATCAACTTAGTTTATCAATATATACACCATTATCCTTACTTAAATGAAGCAAAGTTATGCTCCAGATGCCAAATTTCAATGAAGGGCAATAACTCTGTAATTAAAGGTTTGTTGGCCCTAAATCTGATACACTGCAAACACACTCAGTATAACCAATGTATTAACTGTGTTTCATTATCCTATCTTAAATGAAAGCAAAGTTGTGCTTTGAACATGCAAGTTCTCACAAAGGGCAATAACTGTAATTAATGGGTTGCGGTCCTGACTTGAGTACACTACACATTGTCTTATTATGACCAATGTATATACCAAGTTTCATTCACTGAGTTTAAATACATGCTATGTTATGGCTCTGGACATGAAATGACTGACAAGGTGGCAACCATATGCTCCCCCGAGAATTTCCAGGGAATATAAAAGAAGTCTATTTCGCACTTAACATCAGTCAGATAAAAGGAGCATTTTCACTTACGTTCATTTCAACAAGAGGCCTGGTAGCCTTGACGGTCACCTGAGATAAGCAATATTGAATATAAAGTTTAAAGAGTACTATGTAGCTTTCAAGTGTCATGAAACAGAAATTGTGACATTGATTACAGTAAGCCAATGTTAATTTATGCATAACATCAAAACTGTAAGTAATACTATAGCAATAATACTTACAAAATTATATTCATGGGAAATGACAACCTTATGCTTAAAACTGCATTTTTCTACAAAAATTAGAGTAAACTTAACCTCCTCCCCAGGGAGAAATGCGATACCTATTTTGGTAAAGCACCTTAAGACACTTCCATTAGTGAAGAACATTTGATTCTACAACATCTGGCTGTTGAGAAGAAGGTTTTTGAAATCTGAATCATTTGACCATTGGATATTAAATAAGTTATACTTGACAGTCACCGGAGATAAGCAATAAAGGTTAAATGGTAGCTTTTAAGTGTCATGAAAAAGAAATTGTGACGCTGAATATAGTAAGCCAGTGTCAATGCATGCATATCATTAAAACTGTCATCCTATACTTATAATTCTAATAATAATTTCCAGTATAATGTTAGATTAAAAACTGCAATTTTTCTATGAAAACTACATTACATTTTAAACAAGAGGCCCTTAGGCCTTAACCATCATCTGACTATAAAGACCTATATATGAAAGAGGCCAAACAGGCCTATAATAAATTGCTCAACTACTTTACAGCTTACATAGAAGACATTGTTGGTTCATCAGGACATTTTTTGCAAACTTAAAAATCATATACTTTATGAATGCACGACAATTGCCATTACTCTGGATGTATTGCTTGTTGGAAAAGCAAGCTACAGGCCCAATATCAAGACCCTTGGCCTTTCAGTTACCGAAAAGAATTTGCTTAAGCATTTCAACACATTTTGGCCCAGTGACCTTGAAAGTTGGTTAAATATCCACACCCTGGGCCTTTTGGTTCTTGAGAAGAAGCTATTTAAATATTTCAACAGATTTGATACCTGTGACCTAGAAAGTGGGTCAATGTCATTCATATTAACAAAGTTGGTAGCTCTCCATCCTAGCATGCTACAGGCCAAATATCAGTAACCTGGTTCTTTTGATTAATAAGAAGTCATTTATACATTTCAACATATTTGGTCCCTATGACCTTGAAAGTAAGTCAAGGTCAGTCATATTAATAGACTTGGTAGCCCTTCATCCCATCATGCTACAGGCCCATTATCAGCATCCTGGGCCTTTTGGTCTTTGAGAAGAAGTCATTAAAAGATTTTGACATACTTGACCTCTATAACCTTGAAAGCAGGTCAAGTTACTCATATTAACAAACTTGGTAGCCCTTTTTACCATCAAGCTACAGACCCAATATCAAAACCCTGGGACTTTTGGTTTTTGAGAAGTAATTTGAATGGACAGATGATGACAGACCAAATATGATGGCTATGGATCATCCGGACCCTTTGGGTCAGATGACATAACGAAAAAAAAAAAAAAAAAAAAATGGGCCGCATTGCTCACCTGGTATATACATACCAGTCAAATATCTTGCCTCTAGGCCTGTTTGTTCATGAGTATAAGCTGTTTTAATGTTTTCAACTAATTTGACCTCTGTGACCTTCATTAAAGTCATGATAATTTCTTTTCGCAAACTTTGCCAGGCTTCATTCTAGGAATATACCAGCTAAATATCAAAACATTTGGTCCATTTATTATTGAGAAGAAGCTGTTGACACCAGGTGAGCTAATAAAAGATTTGGTGACCTCAACCACCGCTTATCATTACTTGGAAAAAATAAATCAACATTGTAAATCACACTACAAAAGCACCCTATCTATTCCTGGTAAGAAAAACATTTCAACAATTCAACAAATTACCTTCACACACAGAAAGTATTCCAGCTGTTATTATGTTAATAACACAAATAGAATAACTACTACAAATAATTCAAAAACAATAGCACAGAGTACAAAACCACACACTAAAGAACTGTTATATAAGTATGTTGTAACCAATACTTATCGTAAACATCATACATGTCAATTTTAAATGCATGACTGATTAAGCATAAAGCTTGACAATATGACAAAAGAACAGTGCAGGCAGAGGTATGTAGATTGATCATTAAATACGTATTGGAAAACCTATCCATGACTGCTCCAAGTGACTATCGGAATACACAAATCCTGTGTCCACACATTACTGGTACATTATACGGTAAGTAATTCTTGTATCTATTATAAAATATCTGCTGAAAAGAACAGTGCAGGCAGTGGTATGTAGATTGATCATTAAATACGTATTGAAAAACCTATCCATGACTGCTCCAAGTGACTATCAGAATACACAAATCCTGTGTCCACACATTACTGGTACATTATATGGTAAGTAATTCATGTATCTATTATAAAATATCTGCTGAAAGCAATAATAGTAAAAGTATTTCATAAACAGTATACATTTTTTTTCCTCTTTGATTTTGTTCTCAATATAAAACAGCATTTCAAGTAATGACAATTATCATTGTGGTAGCTAAAATTGTTTTTTATAAGTTTGAAATATTTCTAATGGATATAATCAAATTATGCTCAAAAATCTATTTTTCCTATATAAAATATAGTAAAACTTTTCCCCTCTCTACGGGGAAATGTGAAATCCTGGAGCAATGAAATTCAAAATTTCATTAAAGCATGCAGTGTATTTGACTCCTCCATATCTGGGTGTTGAGAAGAAGATTTTTGAATCAGAAGTCAATTTGACCCCTTTTGGCCCCGCCTTTCAGCCTCTGGGGTCAGCAAGGATCAATAAAGACAAACCATTAAGCTGTCATCCTTCACTCATAGTTTTAACCAAGTCTGAAATACTTCCAATGGAAATTAAACAAATTACGCTCAAAATTTTTTTCCTATATAAACTATGATAAACTTTACATCCTCCTCACTGGGAAATGTGAGACTTTGGGG